ATCATGATTGTGATGATGTTCTTTGTATTATTTTTTCTTGTGATAGTTTTACTACTGATATTATAGCTAGAGAATCTCTTGATAATGATCATAATCTATTGATAATGTCAATTTATTATTCATATATGTCTTTTTTTTTGATTTCTATTCCTATTTCTTTAAGGATTTATTATTCTAAGTTGATTTGATTTATTATTTCAAAGAATTTTGACTGGTCTGATCCTTGATTTTCTTTCTTTATTTCTTGAGTCTAATATCAATCTTATTTGTATAGATAGTATTTTTCTGATAATCTTGATCATTATAATTTCCTTTCCTGTCTAGAGCTTATACTAGATTGTGCATTTCTCTTAGGTCAGTTTTTATCATAATCTGATGATCTTGATCATGATCTTAATTGAAATCTAGATATTTGGTTACTTTTTCTGTCAAGTGAGTATTATTCTCTTTTCTATCTAGAGCTTATACTAAATTATGTATTTTTCTTGAATTTGGTTATCCTACTTCTGCTTGATGAACGTGATGTTAAATGTGATCTGAATCTTGATTGAGAGTTTGATGATCATGATGTGGAATATGTTCTGGATTAGTTTCTTTTTTGTGTTTTTCTTTTTGATCAATATAGTTTCATAAAAGTATTATGTCTGATATTTTTTTGTATAAGTCTTTTAATATATTCTTCATCTGAAAAATAGTCAGGTATGATTAATAGTATCAGTTATAATGATAGATATTATTTTTATTATTCTAATTGATGTCATAATTCTTTATTTTCTTGTTTAAGTCTATCTTTTTCTTCTTGTTCTATTTATTTTTATTTATCTTATTCTTTTTTTTCTTTTGTACGTATCTCTTCTTCTGTTTTGAATTTTCAGTAATGTAATTTTGCTCTGTCATATAGTTCTTTATGAAAGTTTAGATCAATGATAACTTGTTTTAGTTTGTTTTTCCATTCAGTTATTCGTGATAATGTTGCTTTTATCATCATATTTTCATTTACTTCTCTAAGTCTTTTTTGATAATGTTGAATTTTTTCTTTATCATCAAGTATCTTTCATTATAGTAAGTTATCCTATTCTAGAATTATTTTGATATCTTGTGATAGTTGTAATATTTTTATATTTCTTTCTATTGCATAGATTTTAGTTTTCATTTTAAGAAGATCAATGAATACTCATCTTTCATATTCTTTACATTTTCTAACAAATTCTTATATATTTCTTTATGATTTGTCTTTATAGTAGTAGTATGCATCTTGTATTTCTGCTAGTTGTTCTTGTAGTATTTCTCAAGTTTCTTGAAGATAATTCATCTGTTTTTCTTCTTTTTTATTTTTTATTTCTATTATTTTTGTTATTTTATTATAGTAGTTTTGAAGTTTGATGATTTCTTGTTTCCAAAGTTCTCTTCTTGGTATTTCTAGTATGATATCCATTTGTTATTTAAGTATATATTTAATTATTTGTTTGGATAACTTTTCTTTTCCAAGTAATTCATATTAATCTTCTCTATTTCTGTGTATAACTTGTTTTGATATATTATTAAGGTAATATAGTCATATTTTGTCTTCTTTACATATTATTTTCTTAAATTCTTTCCATATATTATCTGTGGTATATCAGTATTCTGTATCTAATACTATATAGCAGTTTGGATACTTTATTATTTTGGATAATTCATTTTAGATTGCTCTATAACATTTTGTTAATGAGCTATTTTCTACGTAAATAGATATGTTAATATTATTTCTTATATATTTTCATCTGTTTTTAAATTCTTGTAATATAATTAGAATTCTATTTTTGTTTTTTTTATTTTATTTCCATAGTATATAATTATTTCTTTAGTATGTGAATATTCTGCCTATTTTATTTCTTTTAGAATTCTTTCCATTTATTCATGTGCTATTGTTAAGTTTGTTGATAAGTATACATAGTTATTAGATCTATTTTCTACTGGTAACTATTTATAATATATTCATTCTTTCTTATATTCATCTGATTTTGATAGAAATATCTATCTAAAGTCTTGTATATAATTATTTCTTTCATTCCAATTATGGATTACTCTTATTTTCAGTATTATGGTGACTGATTGTATACTAATAATCTTTTGATAAGTTCTATTTACTTCTTTTTATATTAATCCCTTCTTTAGGTTAATGATAAATTCTTGTTCTATAATATCATTTTTTCTAATTATAATTGATCTGTATAATTAGTCTATTATTGATGCTTTGTATAATTCTAAGAGATATCATTCTTGTTCAATTTTGACTCATATTTTTTTGATTTTTTCTAGACTCTTTATTAGTTATCCTGATGCTACTATACCATAGCTTGAATAGTAATTTATTTATGGTATCACTTGAATTTGATCTGTGAATTGTCTGCTAATTACTATTATATCAGCTTCTGTGTCAAGTAATATGATTATTGTGATTCTATTAATTTTGATAGAAACTTTTGATTTGTATTATTTCATCATGAGTATTGAAGAATATTAATATCCAATAAGTATAAATATGGGTGAGTTATAAAATGATGAGAGATAAAGTTATAAGAATAATATTATAAAGATAATTACTCTTTTAGTGTGTGAATATTCTGCCTATTTTATTTCTTTTAGTATTCTTTCCATTTGTTCATATGCTATTATTAAGTTTGTTAATAAGTGTATATAATTATTAGGTCTATTTTCTACTGGTAACTGTTCATAGTATATCCATTCTTTTTTGTATTCATTAGATTTTGATAGAAATATCTGTCTAAAATCTTATATATAATTATTTCTTTCATTTCAATTATGAGTTACTCCTATTTTTGATATTGTAATAACTAATTATATACTGATAATCTTTTGATAGATTCCATTTACTTCCTTTTATATTAGTTCTTTCTTTAGATTAATAATAAATTCTTGTTTTGTAATATTCTAATACTATATCATAACTTGAATAGTTATTTATTTGTGATTTTACTTGAATTTGATCTGTAAATTATCTGCTAATTACTATTATATCAGCTCCTATATCGAGTAATATAATTGTTATAATTTTATTGATTTTGATGAAAACTTCTGATTTGCATTATTTCATTATAAGTATTGAAAGATATTAATATTTAATAAATTATAGGTAAGTTATAAGATGATGAAGGATAAAATTATAAGGATAATATTATAAAGATAATTAATGGTTAGATTAAGATTATAATTAATAGTTTAGGTATTATCATTATATTATTATTTTTGTTATTTTATTATTTTTCAAATCATATTTTTGTTATTTCTTGAGAGCAGAAAGACTCTCTTTTTATATATTTTTAAGATTATTTTGTTACTAATTAGACTTTTTCTTTTTGTTTCTAGATGTTTTCTAATACTTATAATTTGCAAAATCATTATTCTATTGCTAGTGATAGTAATACAGTTCTCATTTTTGGTTCCTGTAATTGTGATAGTTATTCTGCAAATTTTACATATACTCATTATATTAGTTATAAAGAGTTGATTCATGATCTTTAGAATCAAATCAACTTTCTTTATTCTATTATTTATTCTTAATAATCATTAATTAAGTTATTGAGTTATTGTATTCAATCAGTTAATTCATCTAATTTTTTTAATGGTTGTGGATCATTGAATTTGTCTGGTTCTGCTCTTATAGATATTATCTTGTTTGATGATATCAATTTTTTAATAAATCAGTCTGAGCCTATATCTGATATTATCAGTATTGAATCTAGTAATCTATTGGATTAGTCTTTTTTATTTAATATAAGTTTTAGTCCTATTATTATTTTGAGATGTTCTTGTAATATAACTATGGTGATTCTTTTTTCTTTATGGTATTCTTCTCAATATCTTATTTATTCTTTCTTGTATTTCTTGATTAGGATTTCAAAGTTGATAATGATAGTTTGAAGTAATTCTCATTGGTATTGGATAGTTTTTCTTAATTCTTATATTTCTTTATCATTATTATTATTCATTATTTCTTTAAAAGAAATGTATTTTTCTTTTGTGAGTCAATCCTCACATTTATTATAATAAAGTTCATTTTTTATTGTAATGAGGTCATTTTTTTTGATTAGTTTGTAATAATTATAGTATGTAATTGGTAAATTATCTGATGATTTTTTATTATATTATTTCTATATTTCATTTATCTTCTATTATACTATTATACCATTGATATATTGGTCTAAATAATATTATTAATGATAACTTGACTATGATCTGTATATTATATTAGTTCTTTTCTGCGTTAAGCATATTCATATTTTCTATTGATATCATTATTCTTAAGTATTTGATATTCTTTATCTTTCTGAACTTATTATTATCTTCATTGATAATGTGTATCCTATTTTTATTTATATTATTTACAAATGTCATGTGTATGTTGATTATAATTTTTTCCATTATATATCTGTTCTTTACATTTTGGATTATCACAAAAATATGCAGCTGTGTGCCATATTATTTCAAGTAATGTAATTTTATTATATTGATCATATTTAGTTTGAGTTCAGTTATCTATTCATGATGTAGTGATCTTTTATTTATTTTATCTGATTTCCATGATGATTTTTTTTTAATAATTTTATCTGAATGGATTAATTCATTATTAGAAAGGTCAATTAATAAGAGTGTTTGATATTTTAATTTTTATATATATTTATCTTTATATTTTTATTGAATTTGTAATAAAAATATCTTGCAAGTTCTTGATATATGTTAGTCATTAGATATGATCTTTAACAATTATAGTAATGTATTAGATATAATTCTTTTTCTATTCATTATTTGAATCTGTTAGCATTCTTTGTTACTTTAGTTTTATCACATTCACATCTGATAAATCAATTTTTTGATTGATTTTCAAATATGATTCTTTTGTCATTTGTATCAATTTTGTCAAAATAGTAGTAAAGTTTCTAATTTATTGATTTAGATGCTAGTAGTAATGGTATTTGTTTTGCAATAGTTAATATGTCATGTTATTCTTCTTTATTAATTTCATTATTAGAGAGTTTTATTTCAAATTAAGTATTCTAAATATTGTTTAGTTTGGTATTTTTGTTATTAATTTTATTGAATATATATTTGATACATTTATAACAGGTAATTTTGTTATTAATTGTTACTATTTTGAAGTATGTAAGCATTTTTCTATAATAATAATATTATTTATTCTTTTGTTCTTTTGATAAGAATGATATTATTTTCTTGTTATATTCATTAAAATTTTCCTAGATATTGATCTTATTTGATGTATTATTTCATTAGATTTGATTATTATTTGATATATTTTATATATAAAATAATTCCTTCTAATTAGATATATTTTTATTGATTCACTAATATGTATCTGAATATTTTAGTATAAATCATATTATTTGTTAAGTTATATTATTTCTTTTATGTGATAGAATATTTTGTCATTGACTTTAATTTGTTCTTTTGTTACTGTTAATATATTTTTGTTAAATTAGTTATTATTCTGATGAGTCTTTCTAAGAGTTCTTGAGTTAATCTTTTTATAATCAATTAGATTATATGTTTCTTTGATATTAATATCTTTATTATCAAGTTTAAACTGAGTTTTAATTCAGTTAAAATTATATTATTTCTTGTTTTATCCAAATATAGTAGTTTCTAATTTATTAATAATAATATTTATGATTTTTGCAACTATCTTATTTATTATTAGATGATCAAGTATTTTATTAATATTTTGTTCTATCTGATGTATTATTATATTTACTATATAATTGAGTATATATTCCTTTAATTTATCCTTAAAGAATTATTATATTATTGGTAGTATTAATCATTTGATCTGATTTCTTATCTAATCTTTTCCTATTTTAGATAATAGTAGTCATATAATATTTATCAATGCAGTTATTATGCCTGTTATTAGTAATTCTGTTATGATATTGATTTCTTTTTCTGAGTGTAATTAATTAAAGTATTATTCATTATTATCATTTGATCTATTGATTTCTTGTTTTACTTCAAATATTTGAATTATATCTCTATTTCTTCTGTTTTCTTGATTATGTATTCTTTTTTTGTTAAATCTTGTTTTATATAGTTTTTCTTTATATGAATTGTAATGTGATCATTCTCATGAATTACTTTTACTTTGAAATCTTGATCTTAAATTATATCAATCATTATTTCTTTAGTTATTTCTTCTAAACTTTAATAAATATTTATTATTTCTCTATAAACTAGATGCTTTATCATATCTTTTATTGTTCTGATAAATCATTCTTTCTCTTTCTCTTGAATTACTTCTATTATTCTATAAGTTATTCTGATATTAATTTTATAAATAAAATGATTTATTATCTGAGTATCTAATTCCTTGTCCTGTGAATCTTATTTGTAAGTTGTTTACTTTAGAATTTTGATTTTGGTCATTAGTTTCTTCTGATTGATTGTATGAGTTTATTTGTTCAGTTATTTCATTCATAAATTATCTTTCTCTAATTCTATAATAGCTAACTTTTGTATAATAAAATCTGATTGAGAGACTATAATATTTCTTGCACAATAATCTACTGAAGATTTTCTAATCAACTTGTTTTTACATGCATAATAATCTAAAACCAATCCCTATTTTCAAAGATCTCTTTCTTCCAAGATTTTTCTAATTCCTTTTGACTTTTCTTGTAGAGCAGAGTCAGAATAATTATCAGAAAATACTATTTGCTAAGTTATTTGTTATCTATTAGGATTAATAAAGCTTGTTAATCTCATTATCAGTTACTTTTCTTCAGGATTCAAGTTCATTCTTCTCATAATAAGAATATCTTTAATATATACTACATGATTTGTACTATTATTAAAGATAAAGATAACTATTATATTAGAAAATTTTATTTTAAAAATAGGAATTATCTTTTGCTTGATCTGGTCTAATAAATATCTTCATCATCAACAAGTTACTTATGTTTTTGATATTGATCACAATATTAAAGTGAAAATGATTAGTATTAAAGATAAAAAAATAAATCCTTCTACCTATATATAGTTTTGAAGAAATATAAACTATACTTGTCACTTCTTTACTAGCTATTATTTTTCTAATATTATTATTTATTCTTACAAAATTCTTATTCAAAGACTGTAAATATCTGCTTATTCTTTGAAAGATCTTCCCAAAGTTGAATAATACTTTTTGAAAGTATATTAGGTACTGATTCTCCTGAGTTTACCTGTAGTGAAGATATGTTAGATACTGATTCTTCTAGATTTATCAGTGATAAAAGTATATTAGATGCTGATTCTTTCAAGTTTGTTAGTGAATCTTGATTAGGTTAGTTATTATTAGACTTGAAGAAATTAGTGATTTTTTATATTCTCTTTGTAGTATTAGTAAGTATATTAAACTTGTAATAATAAGTTATTTTTGATATTCCTATAATATAAAGAACTTCTCTAAATAATCAATAAATTATTAATTTAAAATAAACTAAATTAACTAAATTACCTTTAATCATTTAAATATTTTTTCTTTTTATTTCTTTATTCCATATGAGTTTTGTAATAATTATACTTTTCTCCTCTATTTTTTTCTTCTCTTTCTTACTCATTTCTTTCTTATTCTCTTGATCTAACTCACTATCCTCTTCTGAAACTTGTTCTTGCCTCTCAAAAGCTTTCTTTTCTCTTTGTCTTTCTGCTATCTTTCTTTTTTTATTATTATACTCCTGAAGTTTGATAAAATATTTTTGTCTACAAGTTATTGACATTGTCTTTGTTATAAAAAAAATATAAATATACTGATAATGATAAATATATTTATTCAAAGTTATGACATTTATGTATATTATATAACTAAATATTAAATTAATTAACCAATCAAATTGTATGTCATGTGAAATACAATTTTATTGGTTGATCATAGATCACATTTTTGTCTCATTATCTATTGATTATAAAAAATAAGATATTTTTAAATTAATATAAATTAGAAAATAATAACTATTTTTAGGAAAAAAAAGTTATAAAATTATAGTAAATTAGTATAGTTATAGATTTACTATCTTTTTTTCTTATATTATATTTGTATATCAGTATATTATTCTTAAAAGATTGCTAATTTTATTATAATCTTTAAGTATCCTGTATTATATCTTGTAATAGAAAAATAATCTAATTTATATATAAAATATATTTTAATATTTCATATAAGAATTAATATCTAATTATAGGTAATAAGTAAAGAAAAATAAATTTTATATAATATTATAAAATTCTATATAGTGTGATAATTTTTGATAGAAATATAGAAAGTATGTAAGTAAAGTGAAAAGTATATATTATAAGATATTCTATCATTATTATATTTATAATTGATTAATAAAGTCTATTCAGAAAATAATATCTTATATTTTTAATAACTTTTTAATAATATATACTTATATTATTTAAGATAGTTTTTAACTTATATCTCTATTTTGCTTTTATAATTTCTGAATTATGTTTTAAAATAATATTAAGAATAATTAATCTTTATTTAAAAGTAATTATAATAATACATAGATCTATCTTTTTTTTAGATAATATCTCTTGATTAAAAAAGTCTTCTTATATTCTATTTTAACTTGATTTATATCTATAATTTCTTCTTTATTATTTTTTTTTTTAATAAGAATATTTTTTATCTTAAACTCAAATAACTTTATACCTTTATTATTAGAAATATAAATATTAAAGAAAACTTTTATGTCAGAAATTATTATTATTATTGTTTTCTTTCTATTAATAAGTAAATTATATAATTATAAAATATAATAAAAATATTATTTATATATTTATTATATTCTTCACTATTTTTTTTTAATAGAATATTTTTTATCTTAGACTCAAATAACTTTGTATCTTTATTATTAAAAATATGAATATCAAAGAAAACTTTCATGTCAGAAATTATTATTATTATTACTTTCTTCCTATTAATAAGTAAATTATATAATTATAAAATATAATAAAGTTTATTATTTATATATTTATTATATTCTTTAATATTAATAAATATAAATAGTATATCTTTTTTATTTATTAAAGTTTATTTAATAGTCATCATTAATTTATAATCTTTATTTTTTTAACTATATTATTTTGATTAGAATGAGTTAATAAGTGATCTTCTTCATTATAGTAAATATTTGATTTACCTTTTTATTTTTCAAAATCTTTGATTAAGCAAAATCTTTAATTAAAAAAAAGCTTTGATCTCTTAGTAGTAAAATATCTTATTATTTTCTTCTTTTATTTCTGACTCAAAATTTTTAGAAGATAATAGAATAGCAGAACTAATATTAATAGTAAAGCTACAAATTAAAAACTTGGAATATATAAATTCTATTAATATATTTTGAATATTTATATTATTTTGATGATATATTATTTGAGAGAAAAAAGTTTAAAATAAAAATTAATTTCAAAATATAGTAATCAATATATATTATTAGATATTATAAAGTAATTATATTATAAATATAATATTTTATCATTATTTTTATATTCTTAAAACTGAAAAAGTTTATAATTAGGAAAATTCTTCTATATATATTTCTTGCAAAAATTATAATAAGTTAACTTTTTTAAATATAATATTTGTAATATTTATGCTAGAAAATACTGAAAAATAAAGTAATATTATCACAAAAAACTGGAGAAAATAGTACAAAATAATATTAAAATAATAAAAAAAAATATATAATTTATCTTAGATTTTTAAGAAAGTATATCTAGTTGGATGAATTTTTCTTGAATAAATTTTCTGAATATAAAAAAATAACTGGTAATATTTTTAAATTGATAAAAAAAGTTTTAGACTAGTCATCTAGATTATTTAGATTATCTAAATAAATGATGAAAAGAATTTTAGACTAATCATCTAGATTATTTAGATTATCTAAATAAATTTTTAATTTTTTTAATTTTTTTACTCTTACATTTTTTATTTATATATATAAAGTATATATAAGATATATATCATATACTATAGAAAAGAGTTTTATTTTTTTTCTAGAATTCTATTTTTTACCTAGATAACTTGAATAAAATTATAATAAGTATCAAAGAATAAGTTAAAATAAAATTAAATCTTTTTCTTTCATAATATTATTTATTTAAGTTAATCTAGATGAAATCTGAATAATTTTTTTTCTTAAATGTAAATAGATTCATTCTAAATATATTCTAAAATAATAAATATGAATAATTATATTTTAATAATATTTTTAATAATATAATTGAATAATATTTTTTAATAATATTTATATAATATACTTAATAATATTTTTTAATAGTATTTATGTAATATATTTGATAATATTTTTAATAGCATAATCTAATAGCATATATATAATAGTATTATTGATAATATTTATATAATATACTTAGCATATATATTTAGTAATATTAATTAATAATATAATTAGATAATATATATAGTGACTCTCTTTATAGAAAAATACAAAATTCAATAGTTTTCTATATTATAATAAGCTATATATAAAAAAATCTCATTATATAATATATTTTAATAATATATCATGTGATATATATTATAGTAAATTTGATTAAAAAGTAATTTATTTCATATTAATATATAAGAAAAAGCAGTAAAAATTTAAGTAGAAAAAAAAGAAGATAAATAACTATAACTTTATTAAAAGTATTAAATAATATTAAACTAATACTTATTTTTAATATTATTTTTTCATGGTCACAAAATTAATTTTTTTAAGATTATTGTATTATAAATATTTTATTATATTTACTAATTCTTCTAAAGTATTCTTTACTTTTATTAAGAATTTAGACTCTTTATTATTCTTTGGCACTTGAGTATCTTCATTATTTATAAACTTGATAATTTTCTCATTCATCATTTACTTCTTACTTATAACTTAATTATTAATCAGAATATACTCTTTTATGATTATGAGATCAAAAATATATAGTATTTGATTAATAAGAACTATAAGTTCTTATTTAGCTTTAGTATTATCAGAAAGTGAATCAACTACTATTAGATTATTATTTTAAGTCATAGAAAGAGAAAGTATATCTATATAATACCAACTATTTTTAATTATAATTTATATTATAGAATTTTAGATAATAATAGAAAATTTAATCATATTTCAAATAGTAAGTAAAACTTGGAATAGAAAATTTAAAGATAATAAATTCATAAGCTTCAAGTTAATTTTTACATAAGATTTGTTAATAATATATCTGGCAATAAGTGAAATATAATTTTTATAATAAGATATATAGCAGAAAATGAAAAAATATATAGAGTGATAATGATACTAATTATAATATTTTCAAGTTATAAATAATTTCTTGATCTATTAGTTATAAATATAATATTATAGAAAGTAAACTTAAATATTAGAAAAAGTTTCAAGATTTTTTATCTTACATAATATTTGATATTATTTATTAAAAAAAGAATATACTAATTAATTTTATATATTATGCTATTAAATTAGTTAAAATAATAAGTAAAAACTAATTTTTATATTCAAGTTTTATTATTAAAGTAATATTATATAGAAAGAGTATTTTTATTAATTTCTTGAAGAATATCTGAAGTTTTATATTTGTGAATAAATAGTAAAGACAATTTTTTTTGTTAAACTATATTATTATAATATTAATATAATTTTTAGATATTTTTTTTCCAGTTACAAGTCTATGAGCAAAAGTTTGACTTGACTCAAGTTTTCAAAAAAGTGTTATTTCATTATAGTTAAAAATATTTTCTAAAGAATATTTATGAAAAGCCTCTTGCAATTCTATTAAAAATTATGAAATTTTTTTAATTAAAGCATTTGCTAATTTTTCTCTTTATTTATATAAGTAAAGTCTATTTTATTTTTTAAACTTTGCAAGTCATTTATTAAAAGTAATAAAAACTTAAATATCAAGTCTTCTAGTAAATTATTTTGCTTTTTTTTAAATCATATATTCTTGTAGTGTAAGCTCTTAAGTAATAATTTGATTAATTCAAATTATTATTACTTTTTCAATTTCAGAAAAGATACTTTTTTAATTGTATTTGAATCTGATGACAGTTAATTCTAATTCAAGATATAGCCAATATAAAGATTTTTTAAGAATTTTAAAAATAACTTGCTCACTAATTTTAAAGTCTTCTGCTAGTTTTTAGTCTTTTATTAAGAGAAAGTTTCTTTTTTTACATAATTTTCTTTTTCTGAAAAATAATTTTGCATTATTATCTTTTATTATTAACAAATAATCTCATATATTATCTAAAATAATAGAAA